AGCCCAGGGCTGGGATAGCAGGGGGGCTGCAGGTCAGGGGTGAGGGGCATGGGCAGAGTTGTGTGTGGGGAGCCCAGGGCTGGGATAGCAGGGGGGCTGCAGGTCAGGGTGAGGGGCAGTGGCAGAGCTGTGTGTGGGGAGCTCAGGCTGGGATAGCACGGGCTGCAGGTCAGGGCGATGGGGGTATGGGCAGAGCTGTGTGTGGGGAGCCCAGGACTTTGAGGAGACATTAAGTATTGGTACTGGGTGCATGGCAGAGTGGGGGTAGGGCAGAGCTGAATTACCTGGGCTGCTCTGGGGTTATCAATCTGCTTTTATGGCCCCCACCACAACCACAGTGTCTGAACCCCACAGATCATAACGGATTTGACTCTCAGTCCCCCTGTGAGGCCGGGAAGGATAAGAACTGAGGCCCAGGGGCAGTGACTTGCTGCAGTCACGCAGTGAGCCTGGGATTGTCCCATGCCCCAGTTCAGTGCCTTAAGTGTCCATAACATCATTAGTGATGTAACCCCACCTTTGGACTGTGCAGCTGTGCTTCAACCCGGCGAGGGGGGAGCGTTAGTTACACACTCCTAGGGGCCCTGGTTACTCACTCTGGTGTAATGAAATCCCAGCAGCCTCTGTTTCAGCTGAGTGGGAACCTTCTTAAAAAAATACATAAATGAGATTCACATACGCAGAGAGAACCCCTGCCCCCCACGCTCATGTCTGATCCCTCCCCACAGCCCCTGTGCTCTCTGCCACCACCCTCCCTGCATTCTCACACGCTCTCCCTGCTTGCTGCCCCTGTGGTGGTCACAGCAGGGGGAAGGGCCTGTCTGAGCCTCTGCTTCCCCTCCCGCCTCCTCCTCTTGCAGGAAAAAAGCAGAACGTGGGAAAATCTATTTCACCAACCTGAAGACCAAGGAGAACGCCTCGTCGATGATCAACCCCAAGCCCTGTGGCCACCTGTGCTGCTGTATCATCAAGGGCTGTGAGGAGGTGCGGGGGCAGGGGTTGGAAGGGCACTAGGCAGTAGCATGAGTGGCTTGGGGGTGCTGGGAGACTGCCCCCATGCTGCTCCCAGCCCCCACGTAGAGGAGGGCTCGGCCCCCAAATCCTGGCTTACCAGCGTGTTGCTGTCCCCTTGTCTGCCCTTAGGATCTCCGGGGCCCTCCACGGAGAGGAAGCTCATTTTCCTCCGTTGTTGTTGTTACTGTCCCTGCTGCCCCTTGCTAAACAGCCCCCTATCCCAGCTCCCACCCGTTTGCCTCATTAACTCTGATTTTTGCAATCCTAATACCAAGTGGAGTTGATGCACCAAGCGGTTGGTCCGGATTAGCCCGGTTGTGCTCCCCGCCGCTGGCTGTAGCGCACGGGGAGGAGCAGTGTCACCGTGCCCTCTGGGGGGCGTGCCCAGCCTGGGGCCCGTGCCCGGCCTGGGGCCCGAGAGGGTAGCAGCCTGGTGGGTTGCGTGGCTCTCGGCTCTGATCCATGTCCGTGTGTCCAGGTGGAGGCCATCGAGTATTACACCAAGCTGGAGGAGAAGCTGAAGGATGACTACAAGCGGGAGAAGGAGAAGGTGAACGAGAAGCCTCTGGGGATGGCCTTCGTCACCTTCCACAACGAGACCATTACGGCCATGTGAGCGCAAGGGGCCCGCCATGGGAGGGGACGGGAGGGAGAGTCACTGTCATTTCCAGGCAGGCGTGTGAGCAGCTAGCAACAATGCCCAGGTGCCCCTCCCAATAGCCTGGGGCTCAGCCTCCCTCATCTCCCCCTCTGGGGATGCCTCACTCTCTCTCCCTCTTTCTGTTGCCTCCAGAATCCTCAAAGACTTCAACGTGTGCAAGTGCCAGGGCTGCGCGTGCCGCGGGGAGCCCCGGGCCTCCTCCTGCAGCGAGTCCCTCCATATCTCCAACTGGACCGTCACCTACGCCCCTGACCCACAGAACATTTACTGGTGAGCAGGCCGCGCCTCCTGCCAGGCAAGTCTGGGGAGCAGCAGGGCTAGGGAGGCACCGACAGCCTGGTAAAGGGAAGGTACCGTCAGGGCCATGGGCCTAGCCCAGGAGTGCCCTTGGCAGCTGCGGGGCTCAGAAGAGGGAGCATCCCCATTGACAGGCCCACACAGCTGGCTGGAGGGGTCAGCTTCCTCTGAAACATCTGGGTGTAGGGTCACAGCTTGGCTGGGCCATGGGTCTGACTCAGAATGGGGAGCAGTGGGATCTGGGTGCCTCTAAAGGGGGTTCAGGCCCTTGAAGAGTTAACGTCCTGGGCTCTGCCCAGCACAGACCAATGTCTCTGGCTCCCCTCTGCCTCCCCTGTGATCCCCTCCTGACTGGCTTCTGCACCCTGTCTCCCCCCCAGGGAACACCTCTCCATCCGGGGTTTCATCTGGTGGATCCGCTGCCTGGTTATCAACGTCATCCTCTTCCTCCTCCTCTTCTTCCTCACCACTCCCGCCATCATCATCACCACCATGGATAAGTTCAACGTCACCAAGCCCGTGGAGTATCTGAACGTAAGGCCTGCCAGGGGGACGGGTGCAGGAATGAGGAGCCCTCCCCTTCCTCCTGTCCCATCCTGTGGCACAGAATGGAACAGCCCTGGGGAGGTGGGGGTGGGTCACGAATGTGCACTGGTCCCTCCACCTCAGATATCCAGATGGGCTAGGCCTGGCCCCATCAGGCTGAGCAAGATCCCTACAGGTCTCAAGTGCTCCTGTGTGGGGAGGGGAGGGCCTTGTCTACATCACTGCAGTGTGGGCACTGCTCTGTTACGTGAGGGCAGAAAGCAGCCAGACTCCCTGTCCCACCTCCTGAGCTGCGGCATCGCAGAGCCTGTTGGAGTAGAACGGGGAGTACATGTTGTTGGAGCCAGAGCGTTGGAGGTGGCTGCGTTTGCAGGGGAGACATGAGCGGCCAAGGATTCTGCCTGGGACCCTATGAGAGGCCTCAGAATCCCTCTCTTGTCAGAACCTGGGCAAACAGGCAATCCCCACTCTGCCCAGGGACTGCCGGGCTCTTCGGCCGGCAGCCAGCGCTCAGTTTTGCATGCATGGCAAGTGGGAGGAAATCCTGGCTCTCCCTACCATAACGGAGAGCAAGAAGACACTCGGCTGACGTGCCGAGGGACCAAAGCGTTACGAGAGCAAAGGAAAACTACAGGGGATACAGTGACTGCATTAGGCTGCCTCTACACTTGGGAAAACCCCCAGCCCGACAATCGGAGTAGCTGCACCCTGGCTGATCCCTACAGGGAGACAAATGAGTCCCAGGGCAGGGCCTGGGCTGGTGCCTCATTTCCCCGCCCTATACAACTCCCAGACTCTCGCTTCTCGCCAGGGGATAAGGCAGAGGTGCTGCAGGTTCCCATCCAGGATTCCCAAGTTGAGGAAAGTGCCCCTATTGATACAGCCCCCAAAGGGGCAGAGTCACACTCAGCTCTGCTGGTCGCTCTTGTCCTCTGCCACTGGCGATGCAGCAGGTTAGCCCGCTGCCCAGCCTCCAGCTTTGCACTGACTGCAGCGAACGGTGTGTTCTTTGCCTTCCCAGAACCCCATCATCACCCAGTTCTTCCCCACCCTGCTGCTGTGGTGCTTCTCTGCTCTGCTGCCAACCATCGTGTATTACTCCGCCTTCTTCGAAGCTCACTGGACCAGGTAAGGACAGCCAGCGCCTGCTCTCAGCCTGAGCACTACTGCCAGCTGTGTGCGCTCAACACCTTGCACGAGAGCAGGCATCTTTGGCCTGCTTATCCCATTCCTTCCACCTAAGATCCACCTGTAATTTCCTTTCCTGGCGTAAACTGTGGGGGTGCTGTGCTTTGCAGCTGTTAATCAGATGCTGGACCCCACCTCAGAGGTGGCTGCACTTCAGTGAGCGGATGAACTGATTGCAATATGCACAGTCTGTTAAACTCTATGGGCTCCAGCTGGCTGGCAGGCATTGCGTGTGTATGCGTATGATTGTTATCATTGTGTATTCGTGAGCCAAGATATTTGTTGTGTCGGACCCTGCTGCCCTGATCGCATGTTGTTAGGTCACATGGCTCAGCCTGTTTGAGCTGAGATTGCTGCAGTCCTGCAATCAGTGTCTAGTGGTGTGAGCATAGGACTGGCAGCCTGGAAATCCAGAGTTCTAATCCCAGCCGGGTGTGACCTTGGGCAAGTCATATCCCTTCCCTGGGCCTCACTTTCCTCAACGGTCCAAATCGGAGAATGATCCCAGCCCCCTGCTGGAGATCTGTGATGGTGAGTTAGGCCCGGGTCTACACTAAAAGTGTGTGCCAGTAGTGCAGCGTTGGCTAGGGGTGATAGTTCTATACCGACAAAAGTGTGAAATAAGGTGAACGGGTATAAGCTATACAAACAAAAGCACTTTTTAGCCAGTATAAGATGTGTCTACCACAGGGGAGAGCTTTACCATTACAACTACACCAGCAAAGCTTTTCTGGTGTAGACTAGGCCTCAGTGACTGTAAAGCACCAGGTATGATGCTGTCTGCATTCACTCCTGTGGCTGAGTCAGGAGGAGCCCCTGGAGGGTTGGGGGTGCTGGGGCTGAAGGGGGTATACTAGGGGAGGGGAAGGATGATTCAGTGGTTAGAGTGCCTGCCTGGGGTTTAGGGGACCGTGGTCAATTGCCTGCTCTGTTACAGATTTCCTGTGTGACCTTGGGCAAGTCTGTCCCCCTCTGTAGCATGGGGATAACAGCACTGCTGAGGATAAAGACATTACAGGGGGAGGGATAGCTCAGTGGTTTGAGCATTGGCCTGCTAAACCCAGGGTTGTGAGCCCAGTCCTTGAGGGGGCCACTTAAGGATCTGGGGTAAAATCAGTACTTGGTCCTGCTAGTGAAGGCAGGAGGCTGGACTTGATGACCTTTCAGGGTCCCTTCCAGTTCTGTGAGATAGGTATAGGTATATCTCCATATATTATGAGGCCTCAGATATTCCAGCAATCCCCCATTTATCTGTCTGTTGTACTCATTTGCCCTTCACATGTCCTGGGACCGTCTTTTTCTTCTGTGTTTGTACAATGCCTAGCACAGCGAGGGGCTGGTCCTTGATGGGCTCCTAGGTGCTACCAGAATACAAATAATTAACAATAATAATAGTCTAGTACAATGGACAGATCAGTACCAAAGGGGCCTAGAGGGTGCGTTGTAAGTACTTAAGATGAATCGCTAGACGGGTGTAATCGCCCCCCGGGGGGCTCCCAGTCCACTTGCTAATAGCCTCCCCTGTGCCCACAGGTCTGGAGAGAACAGGACTACCATGCACAAGTGCTACACTTTCCTCATCTTCATGGTCTTGCTGCTGCCTTCGCTGGGCCTGAGCAGGTGGGTGAGGAGGAAACGAAGGCAGGTCTGGAGACCCAGCGCCACATGAAGCACTGGGCTGAGGATGCCCTTGGCCAAGTGCATTGTCCTGTATCACTGGGGAGACAGCCCTCACACCCATCTGGCTCTTCTCTAACTATTTCCTTCCCTCTGCACGTAGGGAATTGTTCCCCTGGAGCTTGGGATGGTGGCAGTTGCCTGAGAGCTGTGGCTCTGTGCAAGATGGGTAATTTCTCTCCGGTTGCACAGGGCTTAGATCCTGCTCAGTTGGCCCCTTACAACAACCCTATTAAATAAGCACATTTGTACGAAACCAGCCAATTCCCCATTTTAGCCAGGTGGGGGCAGGATGCAGCCAGCCTCCCCACATGTTGCAATGAAGGTCACCCTTTCAGCCTTTCTCCTGAACCCACTTCCCAAATCCTCATGCCAATGTTCCAGGGCAACACTCACGAAGCCACCCCTAATGGTGTCCTACCAGCTGTCTGCTGCTAAGACAGGTCCTCCGCGCTGGAGGCCTCAGAGCCCAGACTGCACTGACATGAAGAGGGAATGAGGGAGAGTGTCAAGTGCTGCAAGAGTAAAGGAAATTCTCCGGGAGTATCTGAAAATACCTGATGCTGTAACTGAGCCTCCACTGACACGAGCTGAGTAGCTGTATGACCCAGGGGGCTCCCACTTGAAAAGGAGCCCATCGGTTAAAATAATCCCGCTTCTGACTGAGAATCTTGTACTGGCTCCGCAAATAAGTGCATACCAGGCTGTAGGCTGCAAAATTTGGGCCTAAACCTAATAGAATTAGAAGAGAGAACAAGGATTTTTTTCTGCTTGTTTATTCTGTGTGTGTTTGAGGGCACGTTGGTTCAGATCCTCAAAGGGATTAAGGCACCTAACTGCCACTGATTTTAGGATCTGGGCCTTTGGAGCTAGTCAATTTCACTGTTTCCCTTGCATAGGGGGTTCACCTGTTGTTTGTTTGTGTGGCTCTTTCATCCAGCAGAGAGAAAAATGTTTTTAAAAAGAAGGTAAATTGTGATGCAGGGCGGGGGGCCTGAAACTACTTTAAATCCATTTTTTTTTTTTAAATTAATTAGATTTCAAGGTCATAGGACACACAAGCCACTGACGTGTCAGGAGGCAGGAAGATCAGAGCTGCAGCCAGAGACAGCAAAACATTCCCACAGCTCTTGTTAGGGCAAGTTCTATATGTTTTCTTTTCTGGGTGTGCGTGTGTATATATTTGCACTAAAAAGAGCTGTAGAAATTGTCTGCCATTCCCTACCGTTCTGCTCTTCCAGTCTTGATAGGAATCCTCAGACTGACAATATCACTGCGTCCTTATTTCATCTTTCATTTTTATATATATAATATAATGTCAAATGTTTTAGTCATTTTTTATATTGGTTCAAGGGAGTGGAAACTAATTCCTATTTTAGTGCAATTTTCCTTTAAAGCAACCATTTAAGGCCCCAGCATAATTCCGCCCAGGGTCAGCAGAGAATTGCAGCAGATGTTGCTGCTAACTCCCTTGCAGAATTGAGTGAGGAAGTACAGGTACAGTGATGCGCATGGGATGGATGGCAGAGACAGACAGCCCAGCACAGTCTGAGCCCTCTTTCCCAGTAGTCTCACCATATACTAAAGCTTTCCTCCTCTATACATACCGTCCTGAAGACTAGAAAGGGGAGGATGGCAGAACTCTCTCACATATACACGTGTCTGAATGCATCAGTGTTCCAAGATTACTGTGTATTCGCAGCAGCTGTTGTTCCAGCTCCTGAGATGGGGCGTGACCACGTGTGCGTACAGCTTGTGCTCCTTGATCTCCAAACGTTTATATACTCACACTAGACTCTTTGTTTTCAATTGTTCTCCCTAGTCTGGATGTGTTTTTCCGTTGGCTGTTTGACAAAAAATTCCTGGCTGAGGCCGCAGTGCGATTTGAGTAAGTGGTATCTGAAACCAGGGGGCGGGGAAAGCCTGTCTTTGTAATTGTGACTCCTGCTGGGACTGGAGTTTGGGGGGAACTCGCCCCACAGCCTGTGCTCCTGCCCTGTTCCGTCCAGTATCTCCTGCTGGGAAAGCCTGGGACTGGCGTAGCTGGGGAGTTCCCCACACAGCCAGTAATCCTGCCCCGTGCCATCCAGTGCCTCCTCCTGGGAAAGCCTGGGACTGGCGTAGCTGGAGAGTTCCCCACACAGCCAGTACTCCTGCCCTGTTGCATCCAGTGCCTCCTGCTGGAAGAGGGGTCCTAAGCACCTGTGGGGTCTTCCGAAGCCAAAGCTGCTTCTAGAGATGTTGAGCTGGTTCTTCCTAGCCAGATTTATTCCTGGTGGGAAATGTGGTGAGACTGGCCTGTTTGTGGTAAAACACACCAGCTTTCTAGAAAGCAGAATGTTAGGAGGAAGAGGCGGAACAGTGACCGTTGCATGGCAGTGCCAACCCTGGCCAGCTTCCTCTCTGCCCATATGCCCTTCCATGTCTGTGGTCAGGTTAAGAAGCATTACTTGCCTGTCTCGCTCCCATCCCCCCTTCCCAGGTGCGTCTTCCTGCCTGATAACGGGGCCTTCTTCGTGAACTACGTCATTGCCTCCGCCTTCATCGGGAATGCCATGGACCTACTGCGCATCCCCGGCCTGCTCATGTACATGATCCGCCTCTGCCTGGCCCGCTCAGCCGCTGAGCGGAGGAACGTCAAGCGGGTACGTGGTGGAGCCGACCCCATCTCCCCTAGCAGATCCTGGGCATGTTCGCTGCCGCACTCGGAGACCTGCCCCGAGCACCCGATGCACGTCAGGCCCCTGGTGAACAAACTGGGCGTGTTCCTGTAGTTGTAGATTTGTGCAAGTGTGCACCCGTGAGTCTGTACCTGTGCAAGCTGCACATCCAGACGCATGCTCACGCGTAGGTGTACATTGACTAGTGTTTAAGGAAACAGTCTGCTAACAGGTATCACGTCAGGAAGATCAGAGCTGCAGCCAGAGAGCCTGGGGAGAGCGGGGCATTCCCACAGCTCTCCCTAAGGCAAGTCCATGCGGTGCTGCCGTGTGTGCGTTCACAGACAGGCCCATCCGCAGAGAGCCTGAACAGACTGTTGCACACGGAGAGAGCAGTACACGCGCTCCTGTGCATACACACACGCTTCCCACTACCCGGGGCGCTGGGCAGCTCTGTGCGCCATACCGATGCGCTCTCTGCTTCCTCCCGCAGCACCAAGCGTACGAGTTCCAGTTCGGAGCCGCCTATGCCTGGATGATGTGCGTCTTCACCGTGGTCATGACCTACAGCATCACCTGCCCCATCATCGTCCCTTTTGGTAGGTGGCCCGGCGCCCCTCTGCCTCGCTGTGCATGGAAGGGCTTGCAGCCAAAGGCAGGAGGGAGGTGAAGTCTTTCATTGCCTCCAGTGGGGGAGCCCCATCTGCAGGGTGGGATTGGAGGCATTACCCTGGTGGGGGTAAAAAATTGGGAAACTGAGTCACAAGTCCACCCAATTTAGGCTTAATCAATTTTCACCTTTGTACAATTTCAGACCATTATTGTCACTTATAGTGTCAACATACATTTATGCCAGACAACTAATAACAGACAAGACAGAATTGGTAAATGGGCCCAAGTTACCACATTGCGGGGCACTGGGAAATCCTGCCACCTTCCATGGTAGTCATTGCCTTCTCTGATCACTCGGTGGGGTCCTTCAGTTCCCTCCTTTAGTTTCTGCCGTGGTGTTTCTCCAGTGTGGGCCCATGTTCTCTTAGGTCTTTCGTACATTTCTATGTTACAGATCGCTTCAATCTTTATTCAGTCGGCTTTTAACACATTAGCCCTTTGGGTTTGGGATAACCCGTACGTTACTTCTGCACAAGCTTTAATTACCCAGCTTCAGCATTTTTCCTGTTCGGTTTTGCAGTTTCTGGGTCAAGTCATTTTATGTCATCCTGTCCTGAGTCTTCCCATGAAGACATTTTTTTGTTGTCACGGGTTTGTCTCTTTTTATCTCAAAACTTCCAGCACAATACGTACCTTTGTTCTGTCAGCAGTAGCATCGTTTTAAGCAGCTCAGCAATTCTATGTAAAAGAAGAATTGGCAAAACCACACTTATGCCATCAAGGTCTTGGCCTAAGTGTTACCTCATCTGTGCTCATTCGCTGTCCAGAGTTACAAATCCTTAACCCAGAACTAGCAACTGACCAGTTAGCCATCCTCATACTTATATTTCAATGCTCTAAGTCAGTAGATGTTATCCCTTAATCTGTTTGGGGAGGGGAGTTTGGAAAGCAGGGCTATGATTCTTTAATGGCACAATTTCTTATCTTCTTTAACTGGGGTTTACATTCCAAGCCCAGTTTTGTTTGTGAACCATTACAAAGAAACGTCATTAGAAATGTCCCTCTGAATACATTTTGAGGGGTGTCTTAGATTTAGAGCCTCAATATTTAGTTGTTGATGGTACCCCCACAGCCCTAATGTGGCATGGTTTCTGTCACTTGGGTCCGGTATTTGAGTGTATGTGTGAATGAGACCCTTCAGCGAGCCAGTTTGTACATGACACACAATGGCTCTTGCACCGCCTTGGTGCCCAGCATTCCCAGTGAAGGGACAAGCGAGTTACCAGCTGGAAGCTCCACCCACATGCCTGCTGCTGTTTCTCACCTGGCCCTATATTGCACAGACCAGGTAAGAGAGATGATCCCCCTGCTCCCTACCAGGAGGCTCTCTGCTCCCCCCATTTCAGGGGATGGCTGCCCCTGGTAACTGCAGTGAGGACATCTGCCAGGCTGGGCAGTGAGCTGTAGATTTCCCAGCTGGAAGAGAAAGGCCCTCAGTCGTCTTTGCATAACAGCTGTTTCTGCTCTGCCTCTTGCCCAAAGACCCCTTTTGCCCCAAAAGAACGCTTTCCCGACTGGCAGTATGTCCCCTCTGCTGCCCTGGCAGCAGTCCCTGCGGGGTGACAAGTGCATGTGTGTGTGGGGGGGGGGGGGGGCAGTGAACGGACCTATTGCCCAGTCCAGCTGATGCTGGAGTCCCTGAACCACTCTGTTTGCTGGCGGATCATAGTCTCCGGAGGACGGGGAGGGGGCAGTGATCTAGCTACATATTGCTCCATGCTTGGCTGGTTGAGAAGCTTCTCTGTCCAATATTATCATGGGCCTTGTCTTCTGGTCCCTGAAACCTCTTCTTGGAGAGGCCATGTTTGCAGAGCTCATGCCTAGAAGGGTGTGCCAGGCCAGAGGTTCTCAGCCAAGCAAGTGCGTCCCTCTCGACACTTGCTGCAGTGGTCAGTGCTAATGCCATGCCTGATGCCGGTGTTCCAGGAGGTTGAATTTTTGGTGTGGCACTCAATGCTTTGCCATACATAGGTGGCACCGGCTTCTGCTGGCACTAAGGGGCACAAATAATTATATGGAAATGAGCCCCCTGAGTATCGCACCTGGCCTGAGGATCCCCCTCTCCAGCAGGTGCAGAGCTATCTGCTTGCGTCCCAGAGCGGGGTTCCCCAGGGTGGGGGGTGTTACAGCAAGTACATGTGTCACTGCGGGTGCTCAGCTGCCTGGCACAGCTGCTCAGCCTGGCGGAGAGGGGACTGGGGGTTTGGAATAGGCTGGAAATAGATCACGCTGGGAAGTCCTCCCTTAACCCCGTTGAATGAATCCTTTCCTTTATGGAAAGTGTGGCTCTGCATGGAGTGAAACTCCTCCCATCGCTCTGACTCCTCTGTTCAGCGGTGAGGTGGACACTGGAGAAGGGCCTTCCCAGTAGGTGTGGTAGGGAGCATGGGTGGCTCCAGGCACCTGTGCAGCAAGCACGTGCCAGGGGCAGCAAGCCGCGGGGGGCCGCCTACCGGTCGCTGTGAGGGCGGCAGTCAGGCGGCGTGCCTGCGGGAGGTCCGCCGGTCCCGCGGTTTCGGCGGCAATTCGGCGGCAGGTACGCCGAAGGTGCGGGACCGGCAGATTACCCGCAGAAATGCCGCCGAATCCGCATCACCGCGGACCGCCCGCAGGCATGCCACCGAAGGCTGCCTGACTGCCGTGCTTGGGGCGGCAAAAAACATAGAGCTGCCCCTGGTAGGGAGAATTATGAGGCTTCACCTGAGTATTGGCTAACTTACTCCAGCGTCCCAGCACCTTGAGTTCGGAGTCGTCTCCCTAAGGTCCAGCCCTGAGCAGCCTTGCGGAGAGAGCATGCTGGCACCTGTGAGCCGTTCCCAGATCTCCCACTATCCCCTGCTGCTGACCCTGGAGCCCAGCGGCCACCTCACTGCTCTCGCTCACTGTCTCTCTCTCAGGACTGATGTACATGCTACTCAAGCACCTGGTTGACAGGTACAACCTGTACTACGCTTACCTGCCAGCCAAGCTGGACAAGAAGATCCATTCGGGGGCCGTGAACCAGGTGGTGGCAGCCCCCATTCTCTGCCTCTTCTGGCTCCTCTTCTTCTCCACCATGCGCACAGGTAAGCATGGGGCGAGGGGCGGGAGCTAACGGGGCGAGTGGCGGGCGCCGAACTATAAACACGTACTCAGCCTGGCTGAGGAGTGCTGGGCTCCCCGTCCCTCCAGCACCGCGTGCTGGCTGTCCCCCTCAGTACGGGGCAAAGGGCCAGGGCAGAGGCCCCTGGGGGTGGTGAAGCCAGCGGAGCTGCATGCTGGGTGTGCGACTGCCCTGACTGTGACCCTTTGCCTTGCCCAGGGTTCCTGGCCCCCACCTCCATGTTCACCTTCGTGGTTCTCGTGATCACCATTGTGATCTGCCTGTGTCACGTCTGCTTTGGACATTTCAAATACCTCAGTGCTCACAACTACAAGGTGAGGCCCCAGGAGGCACTGGGGGTGGGGAGTGTCCGGTTGGAGGGAACCGTGGCTGAGGTGATGAGGGGTTACCTCAAGCTGGGCTGGTAGGGAAGCTCCTCACAGGGCCTTTCCTCTTCATTATGGGCTCCCTGGTCTAATACCTCTCCTGCCTCCCCACTCACATGCAGGTGGGTGTCGTTGGGACAGGGCTCTTTCCCCCATCTCAGGGCCACCGCCACTGGTCTCGTGGGCGGCAGGAAAGCTTAGAGGGAGGCACACCCCCTTGCCAGGCCCCATCATTGGCGCATGAGCCTATTCCCTCTCCAGCCTCCTGGAACAGGAGCCTCGTGGGGCTGCCCCTGAGCTGGGCGCTCAGCCCCCCGCAGCCCAGCCATCGCTTGTGCACCCAGGTTCCCTGGTCAGATAAGGCTCCCAGGGAAGGCTCGATGGGGTCAGTGGACCAGCTGCCCCGCCATCTCCGCGCCATGTCTCCATTTCACTCTGTTGACCTCTAGATTGACCACACGGAGGTGGACGCCGTGGACGGGAGAGTGAACGGGCAACCTGCCGCCGTGCCGCCAGCTCCCAAATCCGCTGTGAGTCGCCAGCTCTCCCGTTGCCCTGCGTCTCTCGGTTTGGGACAGGGGAAGGGGGCTGCACACGTCTCTTCCTGTCTGAGGGCCTCACTCCGGGCCTGGCCCAGCCGCCATCCGTGGGGTGCAGGCAGGGCTCAGAAGAGAATGCCCTTCCGCATGTCCCTCGCCCAGCTGAGATGAGGAATTGTACTGTCCGTCTCCTCCCTCCCCCCTCGCGCCCCTGATGCTGTTTGTTCACTTTTTGCCTCTCTCTCAGCTGGGACAATGAAACCAGACTGGTCAGTTCCCCTTTTTGTTTCACTTTCTGGCACTCGCCCATCAGTGCACGCTGCAAACGTGGCTGGAACGCCACATCCCAGCGCCAGCTGTTTTCATTGCAATTTGACATGATGGAATGAAAACACTTTGGGGTAACCCCTCCCCCTCCTGCCCAGCTCTCTGGGGTCTGGAGTCCCTGAGGCTGCCCCTTCAAATCTCTCCTGAGCAAACCGGCTCTGGTATAATCAAGTTATTTCCAAGGCCAGATACTCTGCTGCAGCTAAGATCTGCCAGGGGTGGGGGGGAGGAGCCTCAAGGAGCTGGTTACATCTGCCTGACTCTGCCCTCATCTCCACTGTAAGTTAGAGCCACCTGGGGGCTGCTCTGACCTATGACAGCTGGCAGTGATCTCCAAGAGGCCATTTGCCAGTTGGGGATAGTTGGACTGCAACACATCCCAGCCATGTCCTTCATTCCCTCATCTCCTATACCAGGGCTCTCTGGGTCTCCTACAGGAGCTGGCTACACCAGTCCTGTACCCACTGGAGACTTCCCCATGCCAGGGTGCTCTGAGTGGCACAAAGGGGACAAGGAAGTGGGGCTGTGAATCCTTTGCAACGTCGAGATTTGTCCTGAGAGCAAACAGTGTGTGACTAGTAAAGGAAGGGCTGGATTCCCCTCCAGCAGTGTGACTCCACTGACTCCTGATCATCCCAGCGTACGGGGGAGGCCGCCGGGGGAGGCCTGATGAGGCCTCATCGGAATGGCTGCATGCATGTATAGAGGCCGCTGTGGCTAACATGGCCTTGTCACCATTGCCCAAGCCCACGCAGTCCTGCTGCCACGCGCTCTCCAGTTACCAAGGGCCCTGTTTGGTAAAGTTCTGCGGTGACATGACTGATCTGCAGATTGGGGAAGGCGGGAGGAAGGGCAGAATTCCCCAAACTGTTCTGACTGCTCCCATTGGCCCTACAGCCAGACAGGTGTCTGTACAGGTAAACAAGGCCCTGTGCTGAACTCCAGCTACCTGATGGGGTGGTTTTGTCCCTCCGGGTTAAATCCCCTGCTGCTCCCCATCCCCACAGCAGGGAAGCTTCTTTCCAAAGGGCCTCAATATGTGAGTGCCCAGCTTGAGCCATCTTAGAGGGGTTGATTGCCAGGAAGTGCTGGGCACCTGTCTTCTGGGAGGGGGAAATCAGACCGTTTTAATATCAGGCCCTCCAGTCTTGTAGAAGCCCTGACCCCCACTACTCCCAATCCTCCCACCCCTGGCTCTCTGGAGGGTTCAGATGTTTCCCGAGGTCTTTAGAAAATGGGGGGTTACCTGTAATGGGACGTCAAGAGCTGCACCCCAGGCCGTGCTGCTAGCATTTCCCATCCAAGCGGCATCCCTGAAATCATCCAGCTCCTCTCCCTGCCCCCCTCTCATGCTGAAACCTGTGCATTCCATGCAGTAGGAGTTCCTTTCAGCCCCAGCATGCCCTGCACTCAGCCTCCTGTCTGCATGGCGCTTACCCGCCCTATTGCACTGCTGTGGCTTTCCAGCAGCCTGCACAGAGCTAACAGGTCTCTTGTCTCCCCTCCGCAGCAAAAGTATATCGCCCAAGTGCTGCAGGATTCCTCTCCGGAGGGTGACGCGGCCGAGTCCGAGGAGCAGGGGTCCCAGGACGAAGAGCTCATCAACCCGGACGGCATGAACGACACGGATTTCCAGTCGTGTGAGGACAGCCTGATAGAGAACGAGATCCACCAGTAGCGACTCCAGAGGGCAGGAGGGGCAGGGCAGTCCCAGGAACCGGGGCGGCCGCTGTGAACAGAGAGAGAACCGAATGGAGCCGGGAGCGTGGCAAGGAGGACGCCAGCCCCTGCCCCCTCCCACCTGCCCGGGCCGCTGCCCTAATGCTCATTCCAAGGGTGGGAAGGGGCCGTGCATCAAATTCTCCATTCCCTGCTTCCGCCCCCGCCCCGCTCCCTCTCACTCCCGTCTGGGTGGGTGAGAAGGGACCTGCTCTTACTAGTTACCTTCTCTAACACCTACCAAGACGACAAGACCCCAGGAAGGGGGAAGGAAGAGGAGGAGGAAGATGACTTCGACCCTTGCTGCTCCCATTCTGGGGGGAAGAGGACCCAGGGACAGCAGAAGCCTGGATGCTTTGAGGTGGCAAATGTTGGGAGGAATCTCCGGTCTCCAGTGGCCTCCTCTCTGCCCCCCACATCTGGAATCTTGAACACTAATAATTTATTAGATTTAAAAGAAAAAAAGCTTTAATCAAGGTATTGCAACCCCAGCTAGTAACGGGCGGCTGGGAGCCCGGCAGCTAGCACTGGTCCTAGCCACAGGAGGAGCAGTGCCCTTGTGCTGCGCTGCCCTTTGCCCCATGGCTGTGGCTCGCACACGCATGTGCATCGGAGTGCGGGTGCCCCTCCCCAGCCCTTGGCTCTGTGGGCACGTGAGGGCCACGGTCCGGTCTGGGGGAAGTGTAACAACCTGGACCTCCTCCTGCTCTTTTCCCCACGCAGCCCAGTGCCAGGGGCAGCACCCAGCCGAGTGCGGGGAGCGGGTGTCGCCCAGTGAAAACCGTGCTGGCTCAGCGATGGCTGGAGAGCACATCCGGGTGGCGAGGATAGTGGGAGGACCCCTCGCAGGGCGAGGGGAGCGTAGGGGCTAGCACGGACGCGTATCCTATCCAGCCCGTACGAGAAGAGGGAGCCCCTCCCCTGGCACGGCCTTTTCACGTCTGTGGTAGCTGGAACCCAGTCGGGCCATGGTGGGAGCTCACCATGGGGCATGTGGCATTGTTTTAAGTGGCGTTATTTTGTACATTTTACACCCCCCCCCCTTTAAAATAAAAAACTGACACCCAGCTGCCGCTGCCCCCCATGCTGTCCTGTGTCTGCGCAGCGGGGCCAGCAAGGGGGAGGACCGGGGTCAGCTTTCCCTGACTGCTGTGGAGTGGAGCTGGGCACCGAACCCAGCTACCAACAGGCGCTGGGGCTGACCCTGATTCCCTGGCCCGGGTACAGAGCCTTGGCTGACCCCTCCTGTGTGTTTGGTTCCTGCCAGTGTAGGGCTGCGGCTCCCCGTCCCCATTGCTCAGGCAGTGTGAGAAGCAGCCTCTGCCATCCCGCCTCCCCCAGCCCCTGGGAGAGTTGGCTCCCCATTGTGAACTTGGTCCCATGGGTGAGTGTAACATGCTGCTGTGGGACTCTCACGGGACATCACTGCCTGCTGGGCGTATTTCTAAAACCTCCCTCCGACCCTTAGCACCACACCCACGCTAGGCTGGATTTGCACAGGGGGCTGCGTGCCAGGCAGAGTGAGCAGCAGGAGCACAAAATAAACCTCCCTGCTGGTGAGTTGTATTTATTTTCCCTTGCCTCCCTCACCCTGCTGCTCTGTTCATTGGCCACTGCCGGCCACAGCCCTGACTGCACACCCTACGTGGACACTGCTCCAATTAACTGCAGCCGGAGCAGCACTTGGAGCCCAGTGGGTGTATCGGAGCCAGTCGGAGCTGGCTCTGGGGAGGGCAGTAATAATCTGCCTTGGTCCTTTGCTAGCAACTTCCAGCCAGGAGCTCAAAGCACTTTATAGACACTAAAGAGTTAAGCCTCAGCCTTCCCCATCTCTGCTCCCAGGAGGGCAGTCAAAATTGTCATCCCCATGGTATGGATGGGGAAACTGAGGCACAGCAGGGAAGAGACTTGCCCAAGGTCACACAGCAAGTCCAAGGCAGTTTGGAACAGAGACCGGATGTCCTTCCTTTACCCTGCCCCTCTAATAGGAATGCCAGAGCCAGAGGCAATAGCAGGACTTGCTCCTTGATGTGGGAAGACAAAGGGATGAAGGGCTCAGACGCTGGCTCATTCTTAGCAGCTAGCTGATGGCTGGAGCATGTTTTTCTGTAGTAGTGGCTGGGAGAGGGTGGGCCCGGTGGGTTCCTCAAGCAGACTTCCCCTCACCTCCCCTCTAGAGCTCCCTGTTGAAATGCACATTGTTTAATTTTGATTGATTTCCCCCAGGACAGGCTAGAAATGAAGCACAGGACTCTAAGTGCTTGTGTCCAGCCTAGGGAGCAGGGGGGATGCTGGTCCCTTGGCTGCCTATTCCCATCTGCACCACCCCCTTCACCCCGGTGTGGCGGACAGGCTGCGGTTGCTCTATATGTGCGGCTGTTGGGCGCGGTCCCTGGGCACTGCCTGGGGGGGAGCTGTGTTCTAACTGGCACCGTGTCTGTGTCGAGCTGTGTATAATACCCTGTATATATTTGTGTAAAAAAGAAAAAATGGAACTTATCAGATTGCCAGCCTCTATGTGTTGAATGGGTTCGAGCTGGTGGATGCAGAGCCACGGGCACCAATGGGGGGTGGCGGGTTCTGCCTGGAGGCTAACCCCAGAGCTTCAGGTACCACATGTGGGGGGCACTGCCCAGATCTTTGGGCACTGTGTGTGAGGTGGGCCCTGCCTGGAGCCTAACTCCAGAGCCTCAGGTACTGTGGGGAGGGGACTTATGCCTGGAGTCAGAACCCGGTGCCTCAGGCAGGGGGAGGGGGGCAGGCTCTGCCTGGGACTGGCACCCAAAGCCATGGGTACCATGTGGGGGGGCTCTGCCTAGAGCTGGGAGCCGGACCTCGGGCACCATTACGGGGTGGGGGGCTCTGCCCAGCCTTGAACACGACCCTTTCCCCCTGGTTAGTGTGCTGAGAGGCCTAGAGCCACACGTGTTCCAGGCCCCCTAACAATCTTCCTCTCTGCGTCCAGGATAGACTCTGACTCAGCTGCCCAGAACCCAGCCTGGGCTCCTGGTTGCTGCACACTGAGTCCCGCCTCGCCCGAGGTGCTGCCTGCTGCTTCACTTAAACCTGCTCTGCCCGTTAGCTCCCATAGGGCCTTTTGCCCGAGAGAGCACAGGTGTGGGGTGGCATTTGCCCCTACCCCCCCCACACACACACACACACTGACACTGGTGGCAGAGTCTGGAAGCAGCCCCTGTAAGGTTCAGCAGCCCCAAGGTGGGGCCTGTAGTGAGAGCCCCTTGGTGGCAGCGTGTGACAGGGGGTCCTCTCTTTCTGCCTGAGTTAGGAGGGCTTTCTGGTGGGGTAACAGTCCAATAACCAGTGGTGCAGGGGCACCTCCCAGCCTCAGCTCCTAGGCCTCCCCTGCTACCTACGGCTTGGCTCCAATATCTCGGCCTTTCCTGTAGGGAGACAGAAGGGAACAGAGGTCTCTGGGGAATGTGGTGTGCATGGCTGGTGTCTGTGTTACCCACTCTGTGTGTGTGCTCTCAACAGCCCACTGTGTCCTCTCTGGCTATAGCGGGAGGGTGGCTATTGTTGCTTTTCCGTGCTCCCCCTGCCCAGTGCCTGTGATGTCCCTTAGGCTTGGCAGCACCTGGCCCAGCTTCTGCATGCACATGCCAGGTGTATGGCAAGGGGGTGTGGGTCTTCTTCCAACCCACCACACACAGTCCCACCTGGCAGGCAGGGCCCAGCTGAAGCTTCCTTACCTCTAAGAATATTTGAATCAGACACCACCCCCGACCCATCCCCTCTGCTCTTCAGTTTCACCTTCTCGCTGCATCCCCTGACACGTCCCCTATCTGCTCTGCCCAAAGGACCCCCAGGCCCACCGCTTCATGCCCCCAGCAGCACTGCTTGGCACTTCCAGACCACGTCACTAGTTCAAAGCACTGCCAGTGCCCAGGGGAGCAGCCTCTCATGGCTAAAGCAGTTGGGAGCCTGACATGCTGCAGCAAAGCAATAGAGTGTTCAGTGGAGAAATCAGCTGGTGTGGGGATCCCACTGTCTGGGTGAGCTGTAGTTCCCTCTCTGTGCCCGGGACAGACTATTGCTCTTTTATAGGGGCGGGTCCCAGCCTCTGCTCTGCAGAGAGCTGTTAGGTCGCTTGGGGCTAGCGCCTCCTTGCCTCCAGCTGGTTCTACCGATCTCCAGACTTCATTGCAAAGGAAACCCTGTCAAAGCAGATGGAAAGAACAAGGAGCCAGTCTGGCTGCCTCTTCGGGGACTGCTGCTACGCAGGAAAGAGGTGCCACTCCCAGGGACCAGAGCCTCCAGGAGGAGAGCACTGTGCAGGGGAGAAGAGAGTTATGCAGCTGGGCAGCACGGCGTGGAGCAGAGGAGTCTGGCTGGTCAGCCCTTTCAGGTGAGTAGGAGAGAAGGGAGTCAAGTCCTAGGCAGGCACGTGCCAGGGAGAGGGGGGCCAGCACAGGTGTGTGTGTGGGGAATGAAGAGCAAAGAGAAGCAGGGTAAGGTTTGTTTTCGGAACCCCAACTGTATGATAAACTATTAAAGAGCAGCAGCCCCTTCCTGATGGCACATATCCCAGGGAGCTTAGTGACTCCTTGGAGGGGAGCTGCATCCTGGGTGATGGTGACTGGCAGGGCATGAGCGCAAATGGGGTGGAGGGGCCAACAAAACATTTTTCTGTCGATATATGACCCATGCTGTGAATACGCTTGGGCGGCTCTGGGCTCCTGGGGCAGGGGTAGTCACACATGGGGCAGGAGCCAAGTCTCCTCAGCAGGCCCCAAGGAGGGCTGGGTTCAGCAATGCCAGCTCCTGGCAGCAGAGGGCGCTCACGGAGCAATCATTGAGTGGCTTGCTCTAGCTATGTCGATGGCAGGGGCCTGGCCCCCCTTTGCTGGGGGCTGCTTTGCTCTAGCCAGGCAGCGTGGGCAGGACTCAGACACTCCTGGCGAATGTCCCTCCTGGGCACGAGCGGATCCAGGCCCTGCTCTGGGTGTGGCGCCAGGCATAGCTGAGGCCTGACTCACGCAGAGGGCTGTGGCTCCAGAAAAACGCAGCTGACTGTCACTAGAATAAGAGGAGGAGAGGGCTGGGCTCTTAAAGGCACAGGGGCCTTTCTGTCCCTGCTTGGGCCATGAGGCACCGTCTGCCAGGGCAGGCCTGCTCACCAGCTGCACCTCTCCACTGAGGTGCTGGGCCTGCTCCCGCTCCCCTAGAATCAGTGCCCAGACTGTCATTGACTTCAGCGGGAGCCGGAGCAGCCCCTCTGGGAAGGAGGGTTTGGAGCCCAGGGGGATACCCAAGGCAGGAAGCTCAAAGCAAGGTCCCTAGTAGCTGTAGATTAACAGCAGAAACACCAGCCCCAGAAAGGAGTTGACAGGGCAGACCCAGAGGGGCAGGGAGTCTGGGGGCGAGGGGTGTAAATTTCACCAGCTTCCCCTGTAAGTCACTGACTATACCCCCTACCCTCTGCTTGTTTCCACTTGAAATGGTCCCATTGGAGCCCTTGTGGCTCCCACCTCCTGGACCTGAGATAAGGCAGGGTCTAGCGCTAACGGACAATTCAGCAAACGCTGAAACTTGGGAAGCGCTTTTTCGTACTGGGACCAGAATGAATGAGTCCATCGCCCAGTTTCTGGGGTGCCTTTGAGCCCCTCACCAAGCCTGGGACCTTGATGGGCTCACTGAGCAGCTCCGCCCACCTAGAGGCTGCATGACACATGCAATGAATGCACAGTTCTTGTCAAGCTGACTTTGCATCTCTTCTCAAGGTCAGAGGTCCTAGCACCGCTGCCTCTCTTCTCCAAGGGCTCAGTAACCCATCTTGCGCCCACCTGTGCTATGCCCGCTGTCTCTACAGCTGAGCTACCCCAGGTCTGTCCCCTGGCTGGTAAATAGGGCTGAAAGGATATGCCGCTAGCTCTTTCCCTCAGCCAGGGTGGATCTTCTCTCGGACCTGGCAGCATTGCCTCCAGCAGAACTGGGAGTGGCTCTGCAGCTCCATTGGGCTTGGCCTATTCTTTCCTAGCTTCGTCTGTTTGACCCAGTCCACGGGGCAAAGGACCCTGTTCTCTGGTTCCCGGCTTCTTGTGCATCCCACAAAAGGCTGCTGGGTATTTTGGAGCTAGCCCTGGACCAGTGGGTGACACCTAGAACAGGAGGGGTCCCAGCAGGGTGTTCTATTAATGCAGCCATCTGGCTGGGGATTCTTAGGGGCAGGGACTGCCAGGCTCTGACCCCAATCCTGCTCCCTTGGAGCTAATGGCAAAATCTCCCACTGACCTCAGTGGAAGTAGGCTGAGGCTGGAAGGGGTGAAAGCAAAGATCCTCAGCCAAATCTAACCTGCTCTAAGTATGCAACGTCACTGGGGTTGGGACCCCTTTACAGCAGGGCTGTATCTTCCCGTTCTTCTCTCTCTCTCTCTCTCTCTCTCTCTCTCAGCCCCTGGGGCATTTTCCTTCCTGCAGCTAGTTCTAATTAGTACCTGGCCATCGTTGCCTGCTTTAGCCTGTCAGCAACATGATATGCCCTGGTCATACCACCAAGGCAAACCTGTCCTCCAGGGCAAACCTGTCCCAGCCCCCACCCCACCCCCCAGGCTCCTGCCTCTCCTGTGCCTAGGGAAAATAAACAAACTAGAGGCTCAGGTGAGCTTAAAGCAAACACTGAGCCAGTTTTCAGAGTAGCAGCCGTGTTAGTCTGTATCCGCAAAAAGAACAGGAGTACTTGTGGCACCTTAGAGACTAACAAATTTATTAGAGCATAAGCTTTCGTGGGCTAAAGCCAGAGTTTCTTTTGCCAGGACTCACCCAGCCACATTCGCTACACGGTCACCCAGCGCAGCAGGCACAACACCCCCTTGTGTGCTTGCCCAGCGCGGCGCAGGTGCTCTGCCCCCACCCATGCATTTGCCCTGCGCATACAGTGCCATGCACCGTGTCCTGCATGCTCACTCAGCACTCTTTCCTGAGTGTGTAACCGCCCCTGCCCCCAGTGCATGTGTGCCTGCTCAGGGCACAATACCGTGTGCAGTCCCTTGCACTCACCGGTATACCCATACAGCCCTATAAAGCGATACATGCAGCATACACCTGTATAGCCAAACTCACTGTACAGACCCTCACATGCGTGCAATGACACACACACATGCAGGCCCCTGTGTGCAGCACATCCTTCCCTCCCACAGGCTGTGACAATGGGTATTACCGGAGGGGTGGGGGGGAACGACACACTGCCTTGTCCATCCCTTCAGAGGTGTCTTGAGGGAGAACGCTATCATGTATTTCATCTCAGTGCATTAACTCCTAGTCTGCGCTGCAGGGGATCTGGTCCCGTTGTGGGGCATTAAGCGCTGTGGGTGAGCTGCTGTCTGAGGTAGGGATCCCTGTCTGGAACATGGGAGGATGATCCTGAGCGCTCTAATGTGGGGAGGGTGTGAGGTTAATTAATGTCTGCAAAGTGCTGTGTGGTTGGCATGCAGGCTAGGAAGGCTGGGTAGTGTTTTGTGTGCCCTCTGCTGGATGGAATCAGAACTACTCAAGTGTGTGTCATAGACCCTATACTGTTAATGGAGGTTCTCCTTCACTCAGTGGTTAGATCCTCCGCTTTTGGACCCGGGCAGGCCTGAGCCTCTGCCTCAGCCCATGGTGGGAGCCAGGCTCTGAGCCTTCTGCTGACCCCAGGGCCAGCCGCTCTGGAGCCATCACTGTGCAGGCGCCTTGCTTTTGGAGTGAGGATCCCTTTGGCGGGTGTCTCGGAGAGCTGAGGCTATTAGTGCAGCCTCCTCGCCCCTTGTAACATGCCCTGACGCAGCTGAAGGGCGGTGCAGGATCTGCAGCCTGACACATGGGGCTGGGTGAACCCCAGTCAGGGAGGAAATCCTGAAGTGGGGTGGGGAAAGGGAGGCCTGGGCTTCTCCAGGGAGCAGCTCCAGGGCAGGGAGTCAGACAGCAGCTGCTGTGCCTTTAATTTCTCTGCTCAGACCGCCCCCCCTCTCTCACACTCAATCTGAGCTGCATGCTCGGCACATCCTGCCACCAGGCCAAACCCCACCTTTCCTCTGTGCAGAGCCAGCAGCGGAGCTAGTGAGCCGGGGCGAGGGAGGCTCCCAGCACCAGCGCGGAGCCAGGAAAGGAGAAGAGAGGAGAGGGAAGGGAAGGGCCCCTCTGGGAGCAGCCCACACAGTAAGTCTCTGCACTTCTCAGCCCCTCCGGCCACACTGGGATCCGATTAACAGCTCAGCTACTAGAGGCTGCTAATTTTAGGGCTTGCCTGGTAGGGAGGGAGGGGCTGGTGGCAGGGACCCTCCCTGGCTGGGCACTTGCTCTTCTTGGCTGTGGCAGCTGCTTCTGTGTCTCAGGGAGATGATCAGGTGAGTTAGGGCGGTGGCACCGGCACATGGCACAGGGCTCCGCCCCCCCCCCCCCCCCGATCTCTGAAGCTGTTGCAGGGGCTCGCAGGGCTCTGGCTAGAAGTCTGTGCTCCAGGCCTGGGGGTCCCCTCCCTTAGCAAGAGTGGGAAGAAGGGGACCCCTCCCCTTTGCACCTGGGAGGGCAGAAGTGGCATTTTCCCTTTGCCCCCCGCCCTGCTAGTGTCTAGGGCATGTGCAAGGGGAAGCAGCTCTGGGCTGAAGCCAGCTGCTGTGAGCCGCGCAGGGACGGCAGAGGATGTGGGTGTTCAACCTGAGACCTGCCTTGGGTCCTGGGCTGGGGGTGGGTTGTTAACTGGATTGTTGTTCCTGCTCTGGAGTTGGGGCCCCCTAGCACTGCTCAGCGATGCCCTGGGAGCGCCTGCCCCGTGCATTGCGGGGCTGCCCTGCTGGGGGTGCCAGCCTAGGGGAAATCCCCGGGGGCTCTTTCTTCCACCCCTCACCCATGCTTCCTAACTGGCAGTACTGCACTTCCCCAACGCACCCTGTCTGGAGAGGAGCCTCTCGGTGGGGGCGGGACAGATGGGCCTAGGGAGGATCCTGCCATTCTGAACGGAGAGGTTGCTGAGAAACGAGGTCCCTGGCTCTGGCAGCAGATGTGCTGCAGCAGTGGGGACCCTGTTAGTGCCTCGAAAGAGGAGGCTGCAGCCCGCTGTCCCTGTGGGGCTTGGGGTCTACAGTGGATCAGGGCTGGGGGCTATGTGAGAGCTGAGGGAGGCTGTGCGTGAGGGTGGCTGTGCGGTCTGGCTGTTTCTTGGCTCCCATTCCCGGCTGTTTACAAGAAATAGCTTTTCTGCTCCAAGGCTCTGTACTGGGCCCAGCACCCTTTGGAACAATCTCCCCCTGCTCGAGCACCTCTGAAGACAGCGCCTTTCCATTTGCTCAGCTGAGGTGTAAGACTAGCCCTGGCAGCTCTGTGATTACTAAAGATCCCAGGGCGTGTTTCCATGGAATTGAGGTGAACTCCTTTGGCCTGGCCAGATCCCCGCCTGGGTAACTGCACTGTGCCTTCCACTAGTCCTGCTGTTTCATGTGGGTGCCTGCCTTGAGCTCCTGTGTGTAGTGTTGCTGTCTGGTGTGTTCCACCCCAGAAGTGGCTGCACTTTGGTGCTGGGTGTCCATGTGTATGATATGTAGTTTGGGATTGGGGTGTGGCATTCCTTGGGCTGATTGGAGAGAAAGTGCTATGCAAGCCTTGGTAACTCTTTATGTTTTGCTGGGTGTGGTGGCCAGGTGGGTCCAGGCCTGGTTTGAACTAAACACAGTTCCTAGGCTCTTCTGTGCTGTCTGAGCAGCCATCCCTGGGTGCTGGGCTCCTCATGGAGTGAGGAGGGCTCAGCCACACACAGCAGTAAGTCCAGCCCTGGGGCTGCTTGTCCTGTTTCCTTTAACCTTCTAGTCCTGGCGGGGGGTTACCCCCTTCTCCATTGGGTGATGCAGGCCTGTGCTGTGATGTCATTACTGCAGAGGCGCGGTGCCCTCCCAGCTCAGGCAGGGATGGTAAGCAGGGTGCTTGTCGTGTTGCAACAGGCTCTTGATGCAAATCTCATGGGTTGGCATGGAGCCAGGCCTGTCCTAGATGCTTTGTACACACTCTACTGCATTGAGTGCTACCCACCTCCAGCCAGCCGTGGGAGGCTGCTGCAGGAAACGAGGCCTGCAGCCACTCCGCACCTGGTGGGCAGCGCCCTGCAAGCCCAACGGCTTCAGTCCTGGGTGACCTGGCCAGCTCCGCAAGGAGCCTCCCTCAAATGCCTGGGGACCAGCAGTGGTGGGAACAACTGGACCCTCGACTGTGTGTTTGGGGGCGCCCCTGTGATCACAGGCCAGAAGCAAAGGGACCTGGACTTCCCTCCAGAACGGTCACCTGGGTTCTGTACGGAGCTGAACTCCTGTGCACTTGAATGAGGGTCTGCCTGCTGGGTCACCCTGCTGTTGGGTGTCAGCGTCACACTGGGGATCCCAGTGCACTGTGCTGCAAAGCTTTGAGTTCTGTTCCCACCTGGGGGGGGGGGGCATCGGCAAATCTGAAAGAGTTGTCCCCGGAGTGGTCGCTGGGATGGTGACCGACCTGGCTGGTAGGAACTGTTGGTGATCCAAGGTCTATCTGGGGGCCAGTCTCCCCGGTGCAGGGAGATTGGAGAAGCCAAGTCCTGGCACAAAGGTGGAGCGGGAATTGGTGAGACAAACCCTATTGTGCAGCTGGGGAAACTGAGACACAGAACGGCACAATCGCCTGCCTGTGGGTGCACAGTGAGTCAGTGGCAGAACTGGGATTTGAACCCAGGAGTCCAGTGCTCCTTCCCTGATCAATAATGGTTGCAGCCATCAGTTAACAGGGCTCAATCTGGGCATGACGTTGCTGGGGGCTGAGCAGCGCCGTATTATTGCCTAGGCCGACAAGTTTGCAGGGGCGGAAGCTCCCCTCCGCGCCCCGCCCCCCTGCTCCAGCTCACCTCCGCCTCCTCTGCAAGAGCGCCGCTGCGTCCTGTTTCTCTCCCCTCCCAGCGCTTGCGCCGCGAAACAGCTGTTTCGCAGGGCAGGGAGGGAGGGGGGAGGAGGGGGAACACTGCGCGCTGGGGGAAGAGGCTGGCCCGGGGGTGGGGATTTGGGGAAGGGATCCAATAGGGGAAGGGAGGGGGTTGGAATGGGGGCGGGGAAAGGGCGGAGTCGGGGCGGGAAAAGGGTGGCAATTATTTCCCGGCCTAGGGGCGGCAAGATTATTAATCCGCCACTGGGGCTGAGTGAAGACAGAACTGGTGTACAGGGGCAGATTAGGGGTTTTTTGGGGGGGGGCAAGTGGGGGCCCCTCCCCACCCCTTCCGCCTGCAGTTCCCCCGCGCTCCTGCCATGGAATGGGGTTGTGGCACGAGGGCTTGCCCTGCTCTGCCCGCCCAGTGCTCCAGCAAGCCCTCGTGCCCTGACCCCGCTCCCTGGCAGGAGTGCCGGGGCCACCCATTTTTCCAAAGCCCCCGGGCACAGGCCCCATTGGCCCAGTGGCTAATCCTCCACTGCTGGTGTAGGCTTTGTTTGGCTGCTGGAGAGAGGCCTTTGGGGAGTGGAAGGGCCAGTTGGATTGGGTCAGAAGGAACAGGGAAGGTGTCTTCCAAACCAAACAAACAGGGCAGCTGTCTCCCCCCTCCCCACCCCCCGAAAACCTCGCTGTGCTGCCAGCGTATGCTGGAATGGCTGAGGTTGCCAGTTCTGAGGGGGGGAGCAAGCTGTCCTAGCCACGCGTTGCTCCGGAGCTCCCGGCTGCTCGGATGCTTGGCACTGTGCAGGACGTGGAGAAGGAAGTGAAGCCAGGGGAGGACTTTGAAAGGGGGCTCAGGGACTCCCAGGGCCAGAGTCAGCCCTAGCGTCACTGACTTGTTACACTGAGGAGAAGGCACTGCATGGAGAGATGGGGAAACCTATTGGGTCCCATCCCATCCAGCTCCGGGAGGTCAGTGCAGCGCAGAAATCCTTTCTCGTGCCTGCCTGGCTCTGTTCTACGCAGCCTGGCCATGGGGCTCCCCCCACTTCTCTGGGGTGGCAATTCCCCAGCTGCATCCATCTGTGTTGGGAAGACTTTCCTGAGATTCAACTTTAATTCCCACTCCCTTAATCACACCCCATCCCTCCTAGTTACACCATCTCCCCCCCCCCTTTGGGGTTTACAGCCCCAGGGATTGCATACTCCACTCCCAGCCACCTCTTAGCCAAGCTAGGCACACCTAGCTCTTCTGACCTTCTCCTCAGCCCCCACCCTTCCTGGGGCCCTTCACTCCCTCTGCACTCAGGAGGCCTCCAGCATCAGCTGCTGGTTCCCCTCCTTTGTGAGCACAGCAGCCATCAAGGCCTTCCCAAATACACTGAATAACAAGGCTAATAATAACCTATGCTGTGCGCTATGGATGGCTGTGCCTGCTGGGCAAGGCTCAGCTTATCCACAGGCGGCTTGCCCAGCACAGGGGGCTGCTGCAGAGCTGGGAGGAGCTATAAATCTTTGAAGAGGAAGCAGGGGTGCAGGAACCCTACAAAAGAGGCTGCTAGTTTCTAGCCCCCCAGGGATGAAGAAAAGCGTGTAAACATGCCCAGTGTGTCACTAGCGCAGGGAAGTCTGCCTGAGTCTGCAGACAGCCTGAAACCATCGCTCTGTGAGGGCGACTGCCCCCATCCCGGGGGGGAGGGGGCTGTTCACTCAGCTGATGATGGAAATGCCAGCATTAACCACTGTACTGCTGATCACCGCATGCAGGGATGGAGAGGGAAGGTTGGTCTATAACAGGGGTCCCCAACGCGGTGCCCGCAGGGCGTCTAAGTGCACCCGTGTACTGGCCAGCGGACGAGCATCCGCCGAAATGCTGCCGAGAAGCATCATCATCCAGAGGTGTCGCCGCTAAAATGCTGCTGATTTTCAGCGGCATTTCGGCGGCGACGCCTCTGGATGATGATGCTTGTCGGCGGCATTTCAGAGGCGACGCCTATTGACATTGCCGCTTCTAGATGGCATTTCGGCGGATGCTCGTCCACCGCCACGGTCCTCCGTGGCTCGTCGTCTGGCGCCCGCCAGACGAAAAAGGTTGGGGACCACTAGTCTATAAAGATCTATGTAGCGTGACTGGGGATGGCAGCTCATTTTGGTGCCACAAGTGGGTGGCACTTAAGAGATGACCCCCAATTATTTTTTCCCATCTGGTTCCTGGAGCCAGTCAGCCAGAGGGGAGGATCAGAAAGCTCCACCCACGGGGAGCTAAACCCCAGGAGCAGAGA